AGTAACTCGTCACATAAAAATTCTCACAGGAATCGAATTTGAGTCCAACCCATTCCCCCTCAAAATGTAATCTTGTTCCAAAAAATAAAAATAAAAAAAATAAAAAGAAGGCAGAAGTGAATGCTGATGTGGACAAAAAACATGAGAAGCAGAAAGACAAAAAGGGCAAATTAGTCTACGTATTTCATTTGGTGGCAATTCGAACCCTTTTACTCTTCTAATAGCGGCAAATTAGCCCTTACGTGGTAGAACTATTGTTGAGCTTTTATTTACAATTTTTATGTAATATTAAATAAGTAAATATATATAATATTATAATTTTAATAAAGAAAGAAACTAATTGTTAAATAATATATATACGATTGTATGCAATAAAAGTCATCCTAAAATCATTTCCTTTTTAAATCTATTTTAATGCTTAGTTGACATTTTTTAGACCCACCTGGCAATGTGTCTAATTATCTCTAGTTAAACAAAAAACCTCCAATTAATCCTTAACTAACGAAAAGGAAACATCAATATATATAGTGGTGTTTTACAAGAAAAGAATTGGGGAATATTTATGGTTGTGTAAATACTACAATTAAGATGAACAAAAGTTTAATGAATTGGTATTTACTAATTTAAAAATCTTGATTTGAACTCGAGGTTAAAAGTTAAAATCTCCATATTATTAAATAACTAACTCTTTAATATCCAAAAAAAAAAAAAAAAGTACCATAATTAGGAACGCTATTTTTGAGTTTAAAAAAGAGAAACAAGTTTGATTTCACGGAAGTAGGAAGTAAGGAACATTAAGAGATAGGGTAAGTCTCAGAAGCATGGTTTGATTGTTAAAGAAAGGGGCAAAACAGTTCTTATAGGTAAGCATTAACAAAGATGAAAAATGATTGAAAGAAAATTTTTTATATAATCTTATATATCATTTAATAATTTGTTTTTTATTCAATTTAGACTTATAAGTTATAATATTATATGTATTTATTTATTTAATAATATATAAAAATTATAAATAAAAAGTTTTAAAAAAAATCATACCATTACCCTAACTAAGATTATTATTATCATTTTTTTGATGAATCAAAATGTTTTATTAGAAAATAGAGTATAAGGGGTACTCACCCATACATTTCACCAAAAAACTAGTAGGGTATTAAGAGTCTACAGCACAATTGGTTGGAAATTGACACCAGTCCACAAGACTAAACTTAGCAGAGTTAGAGTTACCTTTGATCTAACTGAAAGTTTTAGTTTGGACTAAGTCAACCAACCTTATTTCATCCCAAGACTGTTTGCCAAAAATAATATTGTTTTTGCTGAGCCAAATGGCCCAAGTGGTTGTTGAGATTGTAAGATTCCAATAGCTTCTTGCTTTCCTGGGGATTTGCAGCGAGCTAAGTTGGTGGAGTATTGTGGAAGCATTATCAGGGGAGAGAAAAGAGAAACCCCACCAATGGCATATTCTACTCCATAGGTGTTGAGACCATCTACACTTGGCGAAGACATGATTTGCATCCTCCAAATATGCACCACAGAATACACAATCTAGGTTAGTTGTTAAGTTCACTCCTCTAATAAGCAGGTTGTCTTTTGTAGGAAGGTAGTTTAGGAGAAGGTGCCAAGTTAAAAAACTGATTTTTAAAGGCACCAGTGGATTCCAAATCAAGCTACAACTGTTGTCATCAAGACAAGGAAAAGAAACATCAAGGAAATTATAGGCTAGCTTTGCTGAGTATCCAGATGAGCTGTGAAGCCAATTAAAACTGTCCAGCTTGTTGCCGGGTATGTTAACAGATTTTATAATCTTTTGTAGTTGCATGTATTCATCCAGCTCTCTCCCGAATGGTGCATGACACGATTTAAGTTGCCATCCCTCGCTATTTGTTGGTTTGTAATCAGCAACCAATGCTTCTTTATCAAGGGACAAATTGTATAGGCGAGGAAACTTTTGTTTGAAGGAGGTAATGCCCAACCAATTATCTGTCCAGAACTTGATTTTTGTTCCATCCCTAAT